AAAGATACCTAGCCTACAATCCACAACTCCAGAGAAGCTAGAACCCTCTTCCAGAAACAGATGGAAGCAGATGCAGAAATCCACAACTAAGCAATGGGCCAAGCTCCTTGAGTACAACTGAAGAGAGGGAAGAGTGATAATATGAACAAAGGAGTCAAGACCATGGTGGGGAAACCAACAGAATCAGCTGCCCCGAGATGGTGAGAGGTCACTGACTCTGGTCTGACAAATGGGGAACTTGTATAAGACTAAACTAGACTCCCTTAATATAGATGCCAATGGTGCAATATGAGGCCACTGGCAGTGGGTCCAAGATCTAATTCTAATGCACAAACTGACTTAGTGGAGTCCATTCTATATGGAGAGATACCTTGCTCAACTTAGACACAGGGGTGTGAGGGGTTGAGAGGTGCCTTGGTTCTGCTTCAACAAGATGATGGGACAGGCTTAGAAGACTTCCTAGGGAACGCCTTACCCTCTCTGAGGAGTAGATGGGAGGTGGGGGGAGCAGAAGGAGAGAAGGGAGGGGGAAGCGGGATTAGACTGTGAAAAATAAATTAATAAAAAAATTTATCCAGCATGCAATTCTTCAATTGTGAATGGAGCACACACTACAAAGAAAGTCAATGTGTTTTTCTACCTGGCACTTATTCAAATGAAATTGATTCACTCTGTTAAAAATTCTGAACATAGCAACAGAAAGAAGTGAAGAGAACACCACTTTGTAAAGCAAAATGACAAAGATAAACTAGTGAACAAGACATCAGGGACACCCAAAAGGTAGCCTAGGTAGAAACATCAGAAATGACATAATCTAGGAAAGCCATAGAACACTTCTGAGGACATTATTTCAGAAGAGCTTATGCAGTGAATAGCAAGACATCTGGAAATGCAGCTGGAGGAAAAATATAACTATCTAATCCTCCCTAGACAGTACCTTTTATTTCTCTTTATTCCAATTATTTTATTCTGACACATATTGCTACTTACATGTCTTTTTTTTTTCTCTTCTGTGTATTTTTTTCCTCCTATTTTTGAGATAGGATCTCATTCTGTAAAACAGACTGGTCTTGAAATTGTGGTGATTCTCCTACCTCACCCTTCCAAGCACTGGGATTAGAGGCATGAGTTACCATATCCAATTATCAGTTATATTTCTAAGCCATTAGGAATAAAATTAGATCGACAAGGTGAAAAAAAAAACACAATTTTAACACACTTCATCTTTTTCCCAGTGTGTTCTGGTAATGGGCACATGGTAACTCAGACTAACAAGAAAGAAAGATAATCCAGTAGGTGGCTAGATTAGCATGATGCTTTCCAAGGGCAGCTGGGAATGAGGGGGAAGCCAACTCATACCTCTTATAACAGACCCCAAAGTCAGAGAATCCTAGAGAACAGTACCTAACATAACATAGTTTAAAAAAAAAAATCCTCAAATTGGGGGGAATACACCAGAAATAGCACAGAAAAAAATGGAAATGAATATTTTATTTAAAAAATATCAGGAATACATTCAGAACTAAAATATATGATACAACTATTAAAATATAAAAGCAAACTTAAAAAAACAGAACTGCATGTATTGCTTTGTTTTAACAGTTGTCTGCACATTCCTACAAAGCCCACCATGCATTTCAAGAAACCATCAATTCATTTAAATAAAAGCATCTGCTGGACTAATAAATCTGAGTTGACTTCAAGTCATATGACTCTCTGCTTGTGGCCAGCTGTTTTAAATGAGCATATCAAGTAATTTAGACACCCCCTTTTTTTTTTGCAAAGGCTGCATGATTTAATAAATTCCCATATGCCTCAACATGTGCCAACCGTACCAGGTTATCTTCAATCCAGCTGCTGTTATGATAATAGCTGCCAACTTTCAAACAACTGAAGAGAATAATGAATCAGCTATGAGTTGGCTCACAGGTAAATTCAGATAGCTCCAAGCTAAAACATGGGCCATTTTCAACCGTAAAAGAAAATTAATTAAAAAGAGTTCACCTCCACTCCACTGTGTGAGAAACTGGATACAATAAAGACCTTTGAATTTGTATTTTAAAAACCTGCAGCTCCGGGTAAACTCCCTACATCTGTGGATTCCAGACTTAATGCTGTAGATTGTGGTAAAGGTTAGCTTTTTGAGGAGACAATTTGGGAAATGCTTCATCCCCAATTCACAGCATAAAGATCTGAGAGCCTCACAATGACTCCCATTTGTTAAGGGTTCATTACAAAAGGCTTCAAAGATTTTAGGGGAAATGATATCACACTTCTATACATGTTATTGTCAAATAAAATAAATCAATAAATTAAAGGAAACACCAAATACACCAGTTTACATCAGGACCATTTAGTGATCAGCACAAACCAGGATGTATGAAGCTCTCTAAGAACGGAAATGGCATACTGAACATTAATAAATACCAGACATAACAATATTATTGGTTTTAAACTAATCCCTGGGACTTCTGTATTTCTAAAATAAGCCAAATATATCTTGCATAAAGCCATGTTAAATTTTAATGTGGTAAGGAACTATACAATGAGTAATAACAAACAGTGTAAATATTCTATCTATTCTTCACTAATAAAAATGAGAATTATTCATTGGATGAATGAGGTTCCTAAAGGGGTTGGACAAGCTGTCTCTCTGTCAGAGAACCGAGCTGTTTTGCATTGCCTTCATTACTAAAGACGGGCTACTTCTCCCTGGTTTTATGGTTCTGATGAACTTTCTAAAACCATGCAAGGACTGTTTTATTCACAGTGACAATGACTTTATAGTATACCTGAGGTTTTCCTAGTTATCTTACTGGCTTTGTCATACAGCTTTCCACTGTATTCTACTCATCATTTAACTGTGAAATTCATTATACCAGGTTCACTTCTGTCCTTGTTGTATGAGGACAATGCTTGGTCAATTTAAAATCCTGTAGATGTAGAGTGGCTACCATCATTCTTTATACTCCATGCTTGTAGCCACTGAAACTGAAATTATGGATGCACATGCGTGGGATGGTGTATATTCTCCAGGCATCCTTAATACCTAGATTCTTCAGGGATCTGTGAGGTCTGTGATGCTGGAAACACTAAATGACCCTGTTAGTGCCCTTGGTTCAAAGACCTTGAGCTAGTCAAATATATCTTGGGAAGCTACAAAAATGCCACATGTAACTGAGATTACAAGGGAAAGACTCAATCTACTCTACGAAAAATGGGATGATGACTTTCTAACATCTTAATGTGACTCACGTTTGACCTTTATACATGGAGACTGCTGGAAATGTTTAAGATGCAACATAAGATCAACAGGCTAATCTTCAGAGCAACACAAAAGGCTAGACTGTGCTATGAAACTATTTCCCAGTTTAGTCAGCACAATAATTTCAGAGACAACTGAATCAGCACCTACACAAACTGAGGCAGAGCAGAGCTGTTGAGTCCTCAGTCTCATTTCATCACAGTAACCCAAAGGGAACCTGCTCTATTCTGCACAAGAGGATGCTTGTCTAAAATGGCAAAATACTATATAATATGAAAGAAATGTGCAAACTCTTTGCTGCCACTTTAATACATGGAGCATAAGAAAATTTGCAGGAATTGCTATTTGGAAAACTTTCTCCAGTGTCATAGTGCTTGGAAGGACTTTATTACAGGAGACAAGTTTACCTACAAAAGCAACCACAAATGCAAGGAAAGGATATGGCATACATTTGGCACAAAAATCCACATTACTTAGCTTGGGCCAGTTCTAATCAAAATCTAAGAGTGTAGGAGATGGAAGGGATTTGCAACAATTATGTGTTACTTTAAAGGCTGCACAGACTTAATGCTAGAATTTTATAATTCTATTCAATATTCAAATCAGAAATAGGTTATAATCCTATTTCTTCCTATTTCTGATTTGAATATTTGAACAATTAGCCCTATTTGTTTGAATGGATCCTAAATGTTTTTATTCTTGGTGATTAGAATAATCAAGACATGCCTAGAGGTGGGAAAAAAATTAAAAGACATGTTAAAGAATGATGAGAAGAGGAAATAAGAGAAAATCTGTAAGTGTAGGCCATAAAAATTAGTGAGTAATTAAAGGTGGGAAAAATAATTGCTGACAATTTGTGTAAAGCAATCATACCCATGTAGGACATCAATGTGGCGCAAGACCACACAATTATGAATAACAAGATGGAAACAGCAACAGTGGGGGTAAAATAGAAACTACAAACAGTAGAGAAAACCACACCGCAAATGTGCCAAGATAAATGATACAATCTCAGAGGTGACGATGGTGCCCTAGATTTGAGGAGGGTCTGGGTGACCGTGGCCAGCACCTCTATTTCCTGCCTTGTCTAATCATAGAATGCATTCTATGTTTGGAAGACAGATTTTGAAGAACATAATTATGGGCTGCAAGCATTTTTCTGTGGAAACAAAATTATAATTCATGTCTGAGATTGTGTAAATATGCCTTAATTTTGGTCAACAGCAATTTGAACTAAAGAAAATAGAATCATCCAGACTCCCAGTAAACTGCAAGTACTCAAGTTAACTACAGGGATCAGTGTGTATGAGTAAGGACATTCCAGATACTATGAAAATGCTAGTCAGGAGAAAATGTTCCATTCTGTAGTGATAGACTTGGTCCCTTGGTCCCTTCTTCCATGTCAAAGCCAGCTCACAAAAGGACACATGGAAGGAGATACAAGGCTAGAGAAGGAAGGGCACCTTTTAGCCAGCAGGTCAGGCACAAAAATAATCACAATTCAAACTGCCTTAGGAAGGTGGGCAAGCTCACACAAATCAACAGTGCTTTGTGCACACATGGAAGAGGAGAAGAAACCACATCAAGAGCCCCAAGTAAGCAGGAGGCTTTGAGAGCTTCCGGAGTCTTGTCCTTTGCAGTGCACCTTACCTGCAAGGCTGTAGTAAGTGCCCTGCTGCCACACTTCAGGAAGACAAAAAGAAATGGTTATTTTCCAAAGTGCTACCAGACTTACTTCTCTTTGAGAAAATCCACAACTCTTTTGAAGTCAGCCACGCAGTACTCTCTCTTCATGTCCATGAGCACACTGTCAGAGGCGGACTGCACTGGGATGTGAAGAAAAGCATAGACTCTGGGGTGGTTGAGGATTTTCGCCATTTCCTGAGAGAGATGGCAGGAAAAACATTCATCACTTTTACAAGTATGAGACAGCACTTCCTTCAGATCTACACATATAAGTGCTGGTAAACAAATACTCAAAAATGTCTGATCATTCTGACTCTAAGGCAGCATCAGCAGGCACTGCTCTATGGTGATACAGGGTGTTTGGGGCAGGTTTTGAGGGTCCCATGAGAGAATTGCTTACTTGTTCACTGTTTTTTTTACAATTATTAAAAAACGTGAAATCACATAAAGCCAGAGAAAAGATATTTTTGCGTGATTCAAAATTAACCAGCATTCCTTCTTTCTCATATAGGTTTCTATTCTCCTCAGTGACATTAGCAGAAGAAACTTTAATAGTTAAATGGCTGAGTTAGTTATGTCTCGTGAGTTATGTCTACTTGAAAACAGAAAGTTTCATGCTTAAAGATGCTCAAAATGTACTTTTTCAATGCTGAAGATGAGAGGATCCAGAGTTCTATTCTTTTGTTCCTTTTTTATTATTATTTTCTTACATTTCAATTTAGTTACTGCTAATATGCTTTGTGTATATACAGTGGGAAAGACATGTGATCAGACAATAAGGAAAGCCAGCTTACTACTGGATATGTGAGTAAGAGGCAGTGTTCAAAAGACCAGAAAAAAGTGGAAAGAAAGGATGAGGAGGAAGAGATGAGGCAGGGGATCATGTATGCTACAAAATTAAAGAGAGCAAATCTTAGGGAAACGAATTAAGCAAGTCTATTTTAAACTTCTTCTGAGAATACAAAGTGGTGCCAGAAAGAATGGAAAGTATAAGTCATGAAAAAATGTCCATAAGGTGCAGCTTTTTAACAACCTGAATGTGCACAGGGGTATCCAGCTCTCACAGCATAGAACAATACACTACACAGTACAGCAGTCTCTCATATCTCTTACATTGTTTCATCCCTAGAACAATGTTTTGAAGGATCCTATGGTATCAAAAAGTCAGCTAATGCCTTGCAGTCACGCTTCACTCGCTCACATATGCAGACCAGACAAGCTCCTTGCTGCCTGTTGTCATTGCCCTGAGTGGAACATTAGCATTCTTGCCAAAGCACAGCAGAGAGGTAAACTCCAATGAGCCACCTTCTTAGGAGAAAGTTATTAGTTACTCATAACTACCCTGCATCTGTGGAGTCTCTCCTAGGAATTAGTAAGCATACACACCTGGCTGTGAATAGCCTACTAAGAACTGAAGCTAAATTTCCAATAGCAAAACAGCCAGATGCAGCTCCATGGTCAGGAGTCTGTCTGAGGGAGCACAACTTACTTGCTTTGAAGTGAAAAGATTGGCCATCTGTTATGATTCCTACCTGTGGTAGTTTGAATAGGAATGGCCCCCCACAGACTCAAGTGTTTGAATGCTTGGCCCATAGGGAATAGCACTGTCAGGAGGTGTAGCCTTCTTAGAGGAAATGTGTCACTGTGGTGTGGGCTTTGAGGTTTTCTATGCTTCACCTAGTTCAGTTCACTTCCTGTTGCTTTCAGATCAAGATGTAGGATTGAACGACCAATAGCAAGGCAGGACCAAGGATAGGTGGGCTGGCATGCAGAGAGTATAAATAGGAGAAATGAGAAAGAGAAGAGAACAAGGAAAGGGTGGCCACACACCCAGCCACCCAGCCACCCAGCCACCCAGCCACCCAGCCACCCAGCCACCAAGCCAGGGAATAAGAAGAAAAGTAAGATATACAAAAGAAAGATAAAAGCCCACAGGGAAAGGGTAGACAGATTAATTAAGAAAAAAAAAAAAAAAAAAAAAAAAAAAAAAAAAAAAAAAAAAAAAGCAGGCTAGAAACAAGCCCAGCTTGGGCATTCATAACTAAGAATAAGTCTCTTGGGCACTGGGTGGTAGGGCCCTTGAAAAGGCAAAAAAGCAAAACATCAACAACAAACTAAACCTATAAAACTGTAAGCCATCACCAATTAAATGCTTTTCTTTGTAAGAGTGGTCATGGTCATGGTTTCTCTTCACAGCACTAGAAACCCTAATTAAGACACTTCTGTTTTTTCCACACAGGAAGATCAACATACCAAAAGCTTAAGAGAAAGACCTGTGAGATCTGTTTTCTCAAGGAGCAGGACTCAAAGGTTTAGATACATTTGGACATATCTGTGGTGCCTGGGAAGTGGTATCTGAACACACACAATGGCAGCAAAATGTAGTTACTTTTGCAGTTTCTGTGCCTGGAGTTCCTCATCTGTGAAATGCAGATGGTGAAAACACCTTTTCACAGAGCCATTGGGCTACTATTAAAAGGCATTAAATAATCTACATCTGTTTAAACAGTAAGCACACCACAGATAAATAATGAATTACCCACAATCCACTTTCTTAGAAGATATTGTAGGTTCACGGGAACATAGCATCAGAAAACTAATACAAAGTCATCAAAAAAAAAAAAAAAAAAAAAAAAAAAAAAAAAAAAAAAAAAAAGGAGCTTTTCAGTAAGTTGGCCACTGGACTAGTGAAGAGGAGATACTATCTATTGAGCTATACAATGGGTTCTAAATGATGTTCACCAGGACTGGGCAGAAAACAATGCACTTCTTAAAAGCACTCAGGGTGGGCAATGACTGTGAAGAGGGCACAGTTCTGGATATGACTTGGTCCTAGAACAGAATGCCAGCTTACATATCAAATGGTCATCAGAAGAAAGTAGCAGAAACATGGTAGCTTTGTATGTCTTCTGTTCTCAAAAAAAGCTTTGCTGTTAGGAGGTGCCCTCTGCTTGATATTACATGTTTCACAAATTTGGAATGTTATATATACTTCAACAAGGGTTCCTATGGCACTAATGATTCTTAGAGGCATTAAAATATAGACTCAAGGAGCTGGTGAGATGGCTCAACTGGTAAAGGTGCTTGCTGTCAAGACTGACAACCTCAGATCTGAGTCCAATTGTTTGAGACAGACTCACATTGTGGAAGGAGACAATTGACTCCCTAAAGTTCTCCTCTGATACACACACACACACACACAAATGTAAAAAATTCCACATAATTAAATTAACCATAGCAACACACAGAGATTAATATATTACACACACTTTGAATTTGCAAATATCTGTTTTTAGGGACACATAGTTAACAATATATATTAATGGGATGGAGTGTGATGTTTTGAAGCATGTCTACATAATAATGAGATTAAAACAATATATTTACAATATTTGATAGGAAGACAAACTTTTGATTAGTATTGAACCAATTTGGGAAAAGCCAGTCAGACAGACATCATCTTTGCTTTAATTTTTAGAATGAGGGAAAAGTATATGAGAATACATATAAAACCAAAACCCAGGACTGTGAAAGTTGTCCCTTTGGGGAATCTAACTTTATAGGTCTCTAGAGGTTCAAATCTTAATCACAGTATATATCCCAATGGGAGGAACCTGCAGCCCAGTCACTGTGCTGAGGTTCAACAGAGGTCTTACTGTAGTCTATACATAGGGCCTAGGTTCACCAAAGGAACTATCAGCTCAATACATAAGACTTATGTATACCAAAGACCAAAGGAGAATTTTGTTTTCATGCAGTTATATGCTGTAGCTGGGGGAGAGTCTGCAGAGAGGGGCAAGAACATGAGGGGCATATTTATACACACATATATGGGATATGTATATGCATGTCTTTGTGTCTTGAAGAGCTCTGGTAGCAAGCAGCATAACAACACTATTTCAACATAAGGGCATTTGTAATTTAAGAGTTGATATGCCGAGGCTGATCACAATATAGATGGGAACTATTTGACAGGCAGGGAGTGAAGAATGCCTAACCAGATCAATAAACCAGTGGATTTCTCCTGTGCTGTAATATGGAGCTGTATTCTTAGAAAATGGAAATTATAGCCATGTTTATTATTTATTTCTGAACTCAAAATATGAAGAAAAAGCAATAAACTAAATGCAAAAGGCTCAATTTGAAAGGGCAATTTGGTGAGCGCATACATTTTAAAACAAATATTATGTGTAATTTTTGTTGCACTAAAGTAATCAGAGTCTGCTTGGTTTTGAATTTCTGTACTACCAACCCAACAAAAGCAGTATGTAAATAAGATATAAGCTGGAGAGATGGCTCAGTAGTCCAGAATACACACTTCTTTATTAGAGGACCTAAGTTCAGTTCCTAGGTGGTGTAACTCCAGTTTCAGGGAATCTCCTAGCACCTTGTTCTGACCTCTGTGCACATAACCCACACAGATACAACATTAAAAAGAAAATAAATCTCAACTAGGTGGTGGTGGCACATGCCTTTAATCCCATCACTCAGGAGGCAGAGGCAGGTGGATCTCTATGAGTTTGAGGCCAGCCTCGTCTATAGATAGATTCCAAGACAGCTTCCAAAGCTACAAAGAGAAACTATATCTAGAAATACTCCTCCCCCGAATAATAAATAAATAAATAAATAAATAAATAAATAACAATAGAATAGAATAAATCTCAAAAGAAAATAGTATAAAAGCCACATATGTCTGAGAAAATGCAACATTTATCTTTCTGAGTATGCATTACTTCACTGAGTTCCCTCACTTCCATCCATTTCCCTGCAATTGTAATAATTTCATTTTTCTTTACAGCTCAATTAAATTCTATTGTGTATAGATGTCACATTTTTATTATGTATTCATCAGCTGATAGACATTCAGGCTGTTTCCATGACCTAACTAATGTGAGCAGAGCAGAAATGAACCTGTTGTTTCACTGAGATGATACATATATTGTCCATTGTCATTATGCATACAATTCAATGTCATCAAATATAGCCACAAAGTTATACAACTGTCACATGTTATCTATGTCCCAAAAGTTGTACCTTCCCAAGTTAAACTGCTGTACATTCAAGATTAAGGCAACATCCCTCCCTACCTGTGCTCTGGGAACTGCCTTTCTCCTTTGGGTCTAGGACTGTGAGGACTCCAAGCAACCCATATACATGGAATCACACAGTCTGAGGTTGGTTCATCTCTAGCATAT